GATATATGCAACGGTCTTATTGAGTACGCACTATAATATATTTGGAGGAAATAAATAATCGCACATTATTTCCGAGTCTATTTTGTGCAGACAAAGGGCGAGTCACCGGCACTATATCAAATTTGCCTTTATGGGGAAGCTGATAATAAACCTGACAAATGCTGAGATTGAAAAGCAGATTCCTTTAGACCGTAATATACAAATTCGCATTGCAAGAATCCCGGCTTGGGACATTTGTTAAGAACATTGTCTGGCTGACTCTTATTAGTGCTGACTAGTAATTTCGAACCTCATTGGTATTTCAACTAACCTCGTAAGAAACACGACAAAGCGTTTTAAGCACCATAGTCAGTCATTCTCAACGCGGGGGGAAACGCCTACTTGTTCTTCTTCATCTTCTCCTATGAGTAACATCCCTTCAGTAAGCTGGTATTCGGCTCTCCACAATGTCCTGCCCTTTGTAGTAGTCTTCAAATTTATACAAACACGTTAGCCAGGTTATGTTCTGATTTCCACTGTCCTCCTTGTCTTCGATATGCCCAGCGTGTGTTAAATTTTACAAGCCCACTTTCTTCATTGTGCATTCTATAAAGTTCAACTTTCTTTTTTGATTCTAAGTATGAATGTCATTTTTGTTTACATATTCTCTAAAACTTCGTCGTTACTCACAGATTCATCAATGGTATCCTCATCATCCTTCTGTAAAATCTTATTTCTGTTGATTCAGGTCTTTTCTTCATGTGTGAGTCGATTGTCCATCATTAACTGCCGTATAGAGTGACTGATATTGCAATAGCAGTTTAGCTAAGTTCTTTGATTTTTAAGAAATTTTTCCTGCTTTTTAATACTCTGCTTAGCTTTTAGAAGACATTTTTCGTTATCCCAACGCGCTTTCAGATTGAGGGGTCGACTTTTCTGTTTGTTTTTTTTTTTTTCAAACAATTACGAGATGTGTGAGGTTTTGTACTTGTTTGAAATTTTTATTACCTGTTGGGCCATTAATTGTGGTGGCGATAATACATTCTGTCTTTCACATACATGTAAACATTCCAGACAGAAACCCCACCAGCCACAAAAATGAAGCCTTTAATTTTATCGATTCTAACCATACATCTCGACCTCCGTCACATTCTCACGGGTGTGACGTGGCTTCCCTCTGTCTTTTATAAAAAAATTTCATGTCAACTGGGCTAACGAATTTTTTTTTTTCACCCTGGGGCAACGATTACGTAAATTTAAGCGGGCTACTAGATTGACAATTAGGTCTCAACGTTGAAATAACTAAATGCAACCGCCACTTCTACTGCAGCAGTTTCTTTTCCCACACTTCCCATCTGTGGAACATCCGTCCATTTTCTTTGTTCCCTACTATCTTGAAAATGAAAATACAACATGAATTGTTCATTTTCTTTAGCTCTGTTCAGTTTTTGTCCTTCTTTTAATTCTCCCTATACTTAGTCGTCTTATTCTCTTTCACTTATACATCCTGTAACTCTATGCGTTTTAGTGGCCTGACCACATTGCCTGGGGTGAAATACTTAAAAAAAAAAAGAAAAAGAAAAAAGATTTACGTTTAATTCTTTCTTCCCGCTTTCATTCAACGCCTTCTGTAGGAATTCCTGTAGTTTCCTTTATATGTCTGTTATCAACACTGGATGATCTGCATGAACAGATAATAGCCAGTAAGTGTTTAAGAGCGATATGGGCGGGGATTGTAATTTTAACTGGAAAATAAGGTAATATAACCGTTTTGACGGACATTGAAATCAGTCACAATGTTTTATGCATGCATATGTTTATCTTTTCACTTATATTTACATTTTTAGACGTATACAAAATAGTTTAATTGCATTTGCAATATGTGACTGAGGAAATATTCATGCAAAAACCCGAATGCTTCTAAGTTCCGGAAAGACGTAGACCATTTGTCTGCATTTGTCACAGCTTACTTCCGGTGTTTGGCACTGCTATAATGCGGGAAACGAAAAACACGTAACATTTACACAACTACATTAATACCAGGTACCAGTGCATTTTATTATATATATACATATACATATATTTTAAGATTTTTTTTTATATAATATATATATATATATATATATATATATATATATATATGAAGAAATATAATCTTAAAATATGCTATATTTATGGGATAAAGTGCTCAATATCAGAGATAGAGCGTGTGTAAATATAAAAGTGAACATAGAATCAACAATTGGAGGCGACAGTCTGTTTCATGCTAGATGCAATCGTCAGGCCTTGAAACAGACTGTCGCCTCTAAGTGTTGAGTTCTATCTTCAATTTTATATATATATATATATATATATATATATATATATATATATTATGAAATGGACAAAGTCCTACAATTGTGTTAAAACATTTTTATGTTTATACGTTCTTTTTATAGATACAAAAATTTAAGTAAATGCTCTGTTTATAATAAACAGTATTAATGACATTTACCGGCCTGAATGTCCGAAAATTTTTCATAGAAAATGTGCGTCCTCCAACAAGAATCGAAATTGTATCCTATACAGAAACGTCATATAGCCTGACGTGCTTTATCGATTGAGCCACAGAGGAGCGTTTCGATTAGCAAGGTCAATTTTACTGTTTTTAAACTACAATCTTCCATGATTTTCTCTCGTACATTCATATCTGTTCGATGTGTACCCAAATGTAAACAAAGTCCGACAATTATTTTAAGATATTTTTATAGGACATTATTTCATATCTATCTATCTATCTATCTATCTATCTATCTATCTATCTATCTCTCTCTCTCTCTCTCTATATATATATATATATATATATATATATATATATATGGGGTGGAGAGAGAGAAATAGTCTCTGTGTGTGTGTGTTTGTGTGTGTCTGTGTGTGTGTGCATGTACCCGTGCCGTAAAAATTGACGACTAGAAGGTATGTATTATAAGTAATATGTATTATATTGTAAGTAATTTCCGTTTAATCCATGTACAATTTGTGATTTAAAATAGTTCGTTCCTAACGATAATAATTGAACATTGCACAATTCTTAAACACCTTCAGGAAACATATTTGTATTTTATCCTCATAAATGTTACATATTTTTTAAGCAAAAGTTTCGAAGATACAATAAAACAGAAACGTGTCCATCCATCTGCTCTGGTTAAATGTAAAAAATCTGAGTGTTGAGATTCTATACAATTTAGTTCTCACTTGTGGTGTCTTATCAAGTGATGATTCAACACCATCACTTGATAAGACACGAGAAGTTTTGAAACAAAATGACTATTTTTGTAGTGATTTTATCACATATTTATGCTATAATTTTCGAATAAATAATCATATATATATATATGTTTAAGGACATATATATATATATATATATGTGTGTGTGTGTGTGTAGGGGGGCATTATCTCGTGTAAATATCCGTAAACTGCTTTGGTGAAACTACACATCTAACCCTGCCTTTGTCACATCTGGTGTTTTCATAGCTCAATTTGTTTACAATACTAGCAATTCCTAGTGGGCGACTTGAATATTTTGTTCCCTCCAATCGCTCTCTTGAATCAGTGAAGGTGCGTAGCACCGTGTGTGACGCAGTTTCAGCTCAGTTGTCGAGGTGGTGAGGCAGATGCCTGGGGACTATGCATTTTAGGAAATCCGAGATGGCTAACACTGGGTTAGGGCTCATGCCCTACTGCCACTTACTAATTTGTAATGAGTTCGATACACATTGTGTGCAACTTGGTCGGAAAAGGTTTATACCACAGTCAATTATTATTTTTTTTTTTTTTACTATTTTCACTTTTTTCAAGGCACAAGAGACACCCAAAGTAGAGAGTGACTGAATGAGGTGAGAAATAAAAGAGTGATGATTATCAGAATGCAGGATACATAACTCTGAACATGAATAAGCAAACCCTCAGTGGTATGTTCTACAAAGCGCCGCTTCTCCTGAAGTAGCTGTCAGAATGCAACAAGGGAATGAGGATGATTTGAAACAATGTATATGCCATAATGAGTTTAGACTTAAACGTCTGAACTGGGTGAAGTAAAGAGTGTAGCTTGTCAAAACTTTTTTTTTTATAAAGATTATGATAGTCTAACAAGGGACTTGTAATATTTCTTCACTTTAAATGGAGAATGGAAAATATTACATTAAAAAAAGACGGGAAAATCTCTGTGAAATCAGGGCTGCAAAGTAAAGATTGGATAGCGCCAACTTAGCTTATTATATAGGTAAATATCCGTGTAAGTAACAGTCTTTTTACAACATCCTGTGTAATGCACAAATAACATTTACATAATATATGCCATGAGAATTCTCGTTTCGATTATTGCAATCGAAGGCAGTAGCCCTACCGCCTACAGAACATATTAATATGAAATGCCATCGATTATGTTGCGCTGAAATTATCACATGTTTAATAGGACAAGTAAGAGCCAGTATCATCGTTATCAGTTGCAAGAGGATTATTTGATAATCCTGATTTCCGTGAGATAAAGATTAAACTCGACTGTGTTCCTGACTGGGGTTGTTAGGTGATTTACACCGAAATAAATAGACGGTGAATAACCAATATTTCCTTCTGTAATTTCACCCGTCCAGGCATGTGAATAAAGAATAAAGTCTTTGAAAATAACTACAGGGTGATTAAAAAATAACTCACTATTTTAAATACTTATACTTTAATTATTAACTATAATTTCTACAAGAAATGGATATGAGAGAAAAGCGTTTACCAGGAGATTTTATTTAAAATTCGATATGAGCACCATATTTCACTACCAGCTTCTCAAGCCACCCAGAAATAGTGACAACTGATTTCACCAGTGATATGGAAGGCATAACTTATTGTGTTCACTCTACAAGTTCTTTCAAGGTCTTCATTTGTTATAGTAAACTAGGCTCGTTTAACCAACACCAAAGAAAAAAGTCACATGTTATTAAATCAGGATTCCTGGATGGCCACTCAGACATAAAATAGGGAAATAGCTTTCAATCACGGTGATAGATAGATAGATAGATATGCAAATGATTATATATAGAATGAGATATATAGATAGATAGATAGATAGATAGATAGATAGATAGATAGATATAGAAATTACTAGATAGAAATATATATATATATATATATATATATATGTATATGCATATATATATATATATATATATATATATATATATATATATATATTATGCAGTGTTACATTAGAACATGCACATACCACTACAAAAATATACATATATCTATCTATCTACGTTCCTTTACATTTGTTTATATATATATATATATATATATATATATATATATATAGAGAGAGAGAGAGAGAGAGAGAGAGAGAGAGAGAGAGAGAGATCCGCGTTGTACCAGTTTCGGCATGTTCTGTAACCTTCGTCGGTGTTTGATTATATATATATTTATATATATATATATATATATATATATATATATATATATATATATATATATATATATATATATATATATATATAATATAATATATATATTCAAATCTTTCAAAAAAGACGAAATCTCACAGCGAGAATTCCCTGTCCGTTGGCTGGGGCACCTGATAGCTATTTTATGGCTTTTTCCCTATCTGTTCCTGCAAATGTATATATCTATCAAATACTCCAACAAAAATATTCTGACCCCTGGCAAAAAAGATTACGAACTGCTCCTTCTACACAAAGGTAGTCAATGTAAGATATCATATATATTTGTTAATATATATTAAATAGCCCTGTTATTTAACACTGAGCACTGTTTTTTTTCTATATATATATATATATATATATATATATATATATATATATATATGTGTGTGTGTGTGTGTGTGTGTGTTTGTGTTTTGATTGCTTGCTCGTCCATCTACCTATATCTACCGATTTGGCTTGACTTGTTTTGATCTGATTTACGGCAAATCCACCTCAATGTGTTATACAATTCCGACAAAATGTTTATTGCTGGTAATATTTGTATTTCCAAAAATTTATTGCTGGTAATATTTTTTCACAAAATATATACATAGTAATAATTTTTTTTCAAAAATGTATTCTTGGAAATATATTTAAAAATGCATTGCTGGTAATATTCTTTTGCAAAAAAAGTATTTCTGGCATCAAAACATATTTTTACATTTTCATGATGTTTTGATCCCAGTTTAGGGGTTAACTATTTGCCCATGGCTGGGATCTTAACAGGTGCTACCACCCCGGGTCACCGGCAGTTAAGAGGTGGTTGCTGTTGGTTGTAGTTTATCGTCTTACCTATAACGCGGATGTAGTTTTTCGTCATTCTCAGGACCTGGTTATCTATCTATCTATCTATCTATATATATATATATATATATATATATATATATATATATATATATATATATATATATAAGAAAGAGGTTGTACTGGTTCCAACGAGAGAAAAGTATGTATATTAAAAAGAAGAGAAGAGAGGTGCCGCAAACGTTTTTGGTTGTAATGTGGATTTATTTAGAAAAAAAGAGTATGCTTTGTTTTACATAATTGTACTACACGGGTTTCTGGTCTTGCGACCGTCTTCAGGTAAAAGCGGAGATTTCCACATATTATTAAAAATAATTAATTTTTTCTTTTGTTTTTCAATGTTAAATATTCTCGATATGAGACATTTTCTGTGTTAGTAATCTGAATTTCTTTCTTGAATTGGCAATGAAGAGTTTTGCGCGAAGGGTCATAAAAAAATAAAGGTTTGTCCAAGAGCAATGACGAATTGCATATCGGCATTTTATCTTTTAATGTTTTACTGACCCCTATGTGTTCTTGGATCTGTTTCCATTTTTGTGTGTTTCTGTCAGCATGCGTGTATATATGCGTGCGTATATTCCCCCTCCATAAATATATATTGTCTTACTACGAGGAATTAGTAAACTCATTTGTACATATACACGCATACACATATATGTATATGTAACATAAAGACAACATTAGTTGTGATTTTAAACATAAAAGCGTAATATTAATAACACTATTAATATCATTAAAAGAACTTTACTGATAATGATAAATTAATATGCTACTCAAATTTATTTGCCAACTCTTCTAAGTGTTTCGAAAATGTCTAAAGACATTGTGGATACCTTGTATATATAAACTACTTAGGCTCACATCGACATGGTGTAATGGCTAGAAAGCTTGTCTTGCTGGATCAATTACAACTGAGTAGTGAGTTCGATCCTCACTGGGTGTCCCCTGCCTTGTGCCACTTTTAACCTACGCTTAGAAAATCACCATATAAAATACTTAGGAATAATTAATTCAAACTTCTTTCATAAAAATCGACTCTATATTCTAGTTAATTAATTATGCCATTTTGTCCAGTTTAAATGTTATTTGAAGTCAATGTAGATCAAATTTATTGAGTAGTCATCCAAATTTTATAATTTCGAGGATATCTAATCCTTATCAGGAATGTTAATTTTAGCAGTGCGGAAGAGATGGCGTCTTCTTTAGTGGTATTCTAGTAATTATAGAAATACTGGAATTCTGATTAAAATATATTTGTATTTTATGAAAATGGCGTGAACTGTAGGAAGGCATGTCTTTTTTTCTTTTTTTTTGCGTAAGAAGTACATTTTAAGAATTGCATTATGAAATATTTTCCGTTAGAGTAAATATATATATATATATACATATATATATATATATATATATATATATATATGTAAATATATATATTTATATATATATATATATATATATATATATATATATATATATATATATATATATATATATATATATCATATGAGACGAGGATATATTAAAAGCGCCCGAGGACGAAGATATATTAATTTTAAAATAGCTAGCACTGTGGTAAAATAAATCTTGTTGAATGTGAGAGATATTCAAGAGTGATATGAAAATGTTGAATCATTAGGAAGTAACTCTGATCTTATTTCCCACCTGGTACTTATAAGATATACTCTTGATTTACTTATATTTGCACAAATATTTACAACGGATCTTATTTATTTTTATTTACTTTTTTTATTTATTTATTTTATTTTATTCTATAGTCCTTCCACGCACACACACACACACACTCTCTCTCTCTCTATCTCTATCTCTCTTTCTCTCTCTATGTATGTCTCTCTCTCTCTCTCTCTATATATATATATATATATATATATATATATATATATATATATATATATATATATATATATATATATATATATATCAAAGTATATAATTGGTATACACGGAATGAATTCAATAACCAACAATTACTATTCTTAAAAAGAGTGCTCAATACAAAGTAGAGCAGATATAATTATTTTTAAAAAAATATATGTTATAAAATTATGATGGTGTTGAAAATAAATAAATTTCTTTTATATATAAGACACAGAGTGTGTTGAAACAAAATGGCTATATATTTTTTATAATCATATATGTTATAATTTTTTTTATAAAATAATATATATATATATATATTAGGACTCTGAATAAGTTCTTACTGATTTTGCACAAAGATTTACAACGGTTCTTATTTATTTTTATATACTTTTTCTTTATTTATTTTATTTTATTCTATATTCCTTCCACACACACACACATTCTCTCTCTCTCTCTATCTCTCTCATTCTCTCTTTCTCTCTCTCTCTCTCTATATATATATATATATGTATATATACATATATATATTAGGACCCTGAATAAGTTCTCATTGATTTTTCATGAAAAGTAATGTTTTATTTACAAAACATTATTAAGAAGCATGTCACTGAATGTCTTGTTTATCGCTAGCCACTACTTCTTCCCATCTTTCTGGCAACATTTGAATTCCACGTCTTTTCTGGCTAACCACAAATCGACGCTTTTTTTTTGTCATTTTCATAAGAAATTGCTGCTCTGCCATCGATCGGAACCAATGATAATCGGTCTGGGCAATGTCCGGTGAATACAGCGGGTTGGGTAGAACTTCCGATTTAAGCGTTTCCAATAAATTTTCACCCGTTTTGCAACATGTGACCTAGCGTTGTCATGTTGCAAAATCACTTTGCCATGTCTTTACAGGTGTAGGGATCATTTTTTTCTTCAATGCCCGACTCAAACTCATCAGTTGTAGTCGATAGCGATCTCCCGTGAGGTTTTCATTCGTTTTGAGCAGCTCGTAATATACTACACCCAGCTGGTCTCAGAAAATGCAGACCACAATCTTCGAAACACGAATATTCGACTTTGCCGCCGATGTTGATACATGACCGGGCTTACCTCACGATTTTAGAATTATCGTAGTTTATCCACTTTCCATCTCCCGTCACGATACGATGCAAAAAAAAAACTGTTACTTCTCTGCCGTTAAAGCAGCTGTTCACACGTGACTAGACGCCGTTCGACGTCTCTCAGCTTCAACTCGTACGGCACCCAATGTCCTTGCTTTGCAATCATCCCTAATGTTTTCAAACGTTTCGAAACTGTTGTGTGATCAACTCATAATGATTCTGCAAGTTTACTTCTTGAAGTAATTCTTCCAATTCTTCGTCTTTAAGCTTTTTCGGCGCGCCAAAGCTTTCTTTAACTTCAACGTCAAAATCATTATTTTTTAAAGCGTCTAAAGCAATATCTGCATGTTCTTTCCGACGGAGAATGTTTGCTGTAAGTCTGTACAAGAATTCTGTTTGCTTCAGCTGCAGATTTGTTTAGAATAAAGTAGTGCACTTTCTTTGGCACAACATGCGACATGTTTAACGCTATGAAAAACAAAATTGCTTACACTTCTGAGAAAAGACATACACTGAATTTCAAGACTTATGTATGCGTTACCACCTGAAACTACATGCACGCAGTTCGGGGAAAGCTATTAAGCTGTTAAAAAGCAACCAAAACTTATTCACGGTTCTAATATATATATATATATATATATAGTAATTATTTGATAACTATATTTAATTAATTCATCGAGTGTGATAGAAACCTCAACAGAATGTAGAAAGTACTGGACGGGCGTTTCGTCCTGTATTGGGGACTCATCAGCAGTGCGGATCCACTATCGAGAATTGAAACCCTGACAGGTTGCCAACAAACATCATACCAACTGTTCTAATTGGCCTCGATGACGAAGAGATTGCAAATCAGACTCAATATAGCGCCGCTCGCTCACATATTCCGTGGTGGAACTCTACTGAGTTCTCTGTAACCATATGACTGTGCTCCGCTGGAGCCACGACTACTTTCACCAAGCCGCTCACTCTAGAGCATTAGAAGCCGGTTCAAGCAATGATATACACAGATAGAATTTATCTCTTCGTCACCGAACAGTTGATATGACGTTCGCTTGACAACCTAACTGTCAGGGTTTCAATTCTCGGTAGTGGATGCGCACTGCTGATGAGTCCCAAATATAGGACGAAACGGCCGTCCAGTGCTTTCTACATTCTGTTGAGGTTTCTATCAGACTCGATGAATTAATTATATATATATATATATATATATATATAGGGGGGAGCATCACGTGATCTAAAAGCCCGCATCTACGAACAAAAGGGAGAGTTGCGTTTAAACATACGATCTAATTCATGCGTTTTGTGCCGATGATGGACATAGTGTTGATTTCACTAATGCCACTAATTAAAACAGAACATAATTCTTTAAGGAGAAAGTACTCTGAAAAACATCTTAATAACATTCTTACCAACAATAAACAGACGTCTAAAACATTAAATTACATTACATCACCATCTATCTTTGAATCAATTCTAAATAAATCTAAGGTGATGATATAAGAACTCTTCCTGAAAGTCAGGTACATACGCGCAATTACGAATGCACATTACCACCCGATGCCCGCTTCGACCTACAAGAATTTTGACAAAATTACATACGTATAGAATTATCGACGGTTTTAACGCACGTGGTACGTGACTGTTCAATGAAAGCTGACCCAAACAAATTTGAAAATACCAGTTACTTTAATTTTTTTAAAATTCTTCTCTCACTTTTGACAAAGCTTTAATAATAGTGAAACATGTTATATCGATATAAGTTTACTGTTTATTCTTAATTTTATAATCGGATTTGTATACATATCGGATTTGTATACATATTTGATGGATATTAGATCTTTCACACATGCTCACACACACTAACACACACACACACACACACAAATATATATATATATATATATATATATATATATATATACAGAGAGAGAGAGAGATGAGAGGCCAAGAAAATTGATTCTGCTGCTTGCTTACTAAATCTGTGCTTTCTATCTTTCTGTTTCTCTCTCTCTCTCTCTCTCTCTCTCTCTCTCTCTGTTATATATATATATATATATATATATATATATATATATATATATATATATATGGGGAGGCACGCGTGATTATGTGTGTGTGGGCGTATGTGCGTGAATTTGTGGGTGTATGTGTTTGATAACCGCTTACAATTTTCTATAGGAATAGTACATAATATCGGAAATAGATCTTTAGATATATAGATTAGGATATATCGACCATCATGTATAGTGACGGTCAGTTTCATCCTTCAGTGCAATAATCCAGACATGAGGCTTGACTGTCACCTTGCAGTTTTAATATAAAAATTCAAACCATGCCTATCTGTTTTTATCTCTCTTTATATATATATATATATATATATATAGGAGTAGGTAGGATATTTTCCTTTCCGGTCCCACCCCCCCTACTCTTGGACATGAGTAAAGGCTTACGCCTTGTTTCCTGTTTAGGAAGGGGTTTCCGGTACTCTCTCCCCATCTTTCTCTCTCTCTCCCTCTCCCTCTCTCTTTCTCTCACTGGTCTCTGTACCTCGAGTTGCCTTGATCTGTCCACTACTCTTCTCTTCATCCTTTCTTCTATCACTCCTATCTGACCTTGCTCCATATTTTCTGTAACCCCTTGCGTCCTAGTGGCTTTCCGCCTTGCTTGGGCTGAAACGCTTAAATATATATATATATATATATATATATATATATATATATATATATAGAGAGAGAGAGAGAGAGAGAGAGAGATAGATAGATATATATAGAGAGAGACATATACAGGGAGAGAGATGCAGACATAGAAATGTACGTACATATATATATATATATATATATATATATGATGAAATATAATTTAAGTTATTCTATATTTATGCGTTAAAGTGCTCAGTATCAGGAACAGAGCGTATATAAATATAAAAAAGAACATTGAATCAACATCCTGAAGCTAGGGTTGTGTTCATGCTAAATGCAATCGTCAGGCCATTGTATAGAGATTTGCTATTTACTATATATTCTATCTTATACCGTGTATTCTTGACTATCGTCACAGTGATTTACAGTCAGTTGTGTAGTGGAAGTAATTATTTAATAAACCATTTTCCACCCAAAATTCTCTGTGGGATTTTGAATAATTTATTTCCAGAGTTCTCATATAATATGGCTAATACTTGTCAAGGTTGATAATGTTGGTAAGACTTTAATGTAAGTTATGGATGTCG